CACAGACAGCCTCTTCCCAATATGCGTTTTTGCAATTTACATATATGCAAAAACGCATAAAAAATACAAGCATATCTTCCATTAAAATCCGTAACCAGTGCCAACTTTTTTTATGAAATCCGACACTGCGGTCTGAGCTACAACGCCTATATCAGTAAATATCGCAAAAAAAAAGCTGACCGTTAATCAGATCAAAATCATTGCAGCAGTCAAGGAATTTGGAAATGTCGCTGCTGCTCTCGTCCACTATCTCCTTAACTGGGTGATCACTGCCAGTAGCGTTGTCCGGTGTAACAATTACTTTGGCGAATACAGGGGAAAGTTTTGAAATAACTGCCGCGTCGATGACAAACAGCTGGCCTTGTACGAGAAGGCGGAATGGCTGCTTAATGTCCGAATTGGATGTTTGCGCCTCGTGCGAGCAAGAATTCATTGCCTTTTCCGCTAATGAGATCATTCGTGTACTGCTAATCTGAGCTTAAATCCGACAAAATTTGCTACTGCTATACACCTGAAAAGCCAAATGATGGGATAGTTTTCACTTCAGTTCCACCCACAGAAACGTAAAACATTTTTCACGCTTTTTTAACAAACGAAATAAAGGACAATTTACGCGACTAGTAATCAGTTGGCGTGCTTGCGTTTCTGCTATAAGTTGTTCAGCGGTTAAATGAAATTGTAACATCGCTAACAAAATGTCAATTCGAAAACCAAACTGATTAGAGTGTCCGAAGTTTCCGAGTATATTTGCTTTTAATACGTGAACAAACAGATGTAAAATAAGCTTTGGCACATGTCTCTACTGCGCGTTCGTATGCCTTCCACGAAAAGTAACTTCCCAAGCTTGGAAGAATATTCTATGCCTATTTGCGAATTAAATATTTCAGATTCAGCTTTAAAGCAACTCTAGGTTTCACATGCGCGGCAAGCAAAAATTTATTTTTAGACACTGTTAGCGCCCAATTAATTAACCCAGCAATCAGACTAACAAAAAGCAGTATTTTTCTGAAGATGTTTACTTTTCATGTGGGACTTGAAGATCAGAACCTCTTCAGATCCTCTGTCTACCTGCCTCCCTGCACATCGACACACTATTTCTCAGCAACGTTTCAAAGCAGGGACTAATGATCGGAGAGCAAATGATCAACTTATGAATGATCATGGATTTCAAGAGGCAGGTTTTTGGCGGGGGGGGGGGGGGGG